CATGCAACGCTTTATTAAAGAAGAAGTTTTGAAAGACAAAAGTGGCGACAAATTACTTGAGGTAGATTTGAACAAAGATGTCTTGCCCCTCAAAAAGATTGATGTGGGCAATAATGCTCGTAGGGTACTTAACTTGGTAAAAAGTGAAGAAATGGAGTTATTTCTATTTAATGCTAAGAAATTTTATGTTATAATAATTGAATACCTCCTCCAGAAATTGCCTTTGAAAAATAAACTGTTGCAATCCTTACAAATTTTACACCCTATTGTGAAGAAAGAACCTGTAGTGAATATTTTCCCTACAATCAGAAGATTGTGTAACATGCTACCTCGCATCGTACCACAGAACTGTGTTGATAAACTGACTGACGAGTGGCATTTGTATGCAAATGAAGATGTTCCCGAGGAAACTGAAAATATTCCCATTGACAAGTATTGGAACAATGTGTTTGTTCTTAAAGATGGTAATGGTGATTTAAAATATCCGTTTTTAACTAAACTTGTGAAGGCAGTCCTCTCTGTTTCTCATGGGCAAGCCTCTGTGGAACGTGGCTTTTCAATTAGCAAACAAATTATGACAAATGAAAGGTCAAGAATGAATTTAAACACGCTAGTAGGCTTAAGACTTATAAAAGATTCAGTTAGAAAAAATGCTTCTTGTGTGGAAATAACGAAAGAGATGATCCATTTCTTCAAAGAAGCCCACAGCTAATATAAGGCAGAAAACGAAAAGGAAAAACTCAAAAACCTCAAGGAGAAAAGTTTAGAGCCTAAGCCCAGTACTTCTATAAAAAAAATCAACTGAGGAGAAATTGAAAGGTTTTAAGGAAAATGTTTCTTCAGCTCAGGCTATGATTGAAGAAGGAAACCAGAGGCTAAAACAAGGACTCAAACGGAAATCTATGGCTGATATTGAGGCTGTGCAAGCACTTATTGATGCTGGCAACAAAAAGTTAAAGACTTTGCAGAATGATAAATAAATCTAAAAACAATGCTGCATAATTTTTGAAATAATTTAATGTAATAGAGAGGAGTAAATAAAATGTTAATTATTGAAAAAGTCATTAGTTTGATAACGTCAATTTTTTAATGTGGTTTTTAATTTTTAAAGCAATGATAAGGTATGTATGATTTTATTCTCACCATTCAGCTGCAGAAAATTGTTTATATAATTTTTTTTATAAAATTTTTATAGTGTTAAATAACTAAGTTTTAAAGTTATTCATATATGATCCGTGCTTTTCAATTTAATTTAGATCTTTTTTGTCCTATTTTTTATTCCAGAAAATCCTATATTTTTTTTCTAGAAAATCCTATATTTTTTTCAAAACAATCCTATTTTTTTCTCATTGGTCACTTCTACCACTGATTTATAGCCCAGTCCTACTTCAGGATTAGTTCAGAATTACAAGGCTACAGAGTTGAAAATCAATAGTTGTAGACCCAAAATTGAATCGGCTGTTCAATGATGGATATATATCTAGATAACTAGCGTATTCTTTCCTTTTTTTGTGCTGATTTGAATGACAACACAACCGAGACCAGAGAACTAATATTTCAAAAATTAATGTCTTAAGTCTAAAAGGTGAATTTTAGTATTTTTACCTACCTGCGTGTCTGATATTACTATCTTGACAAGAGAAGTCTTGAATCCTATGTTTTGTTTTTAACTGAATGAACAAGTAGTTTAGATACCATTAGCATGAAATCTTTGTAAGACTGATAAAAGTTTCATGAATAAAAAGTATACTTTTTGTACATACTATTTATGCATCTGACATTGATATCTAGACAGATGAGGTGCTGTTTCTTATGTATTTTTACAATAAATTCATAAAAATTGAAACTAAATTAATAGAACTAATAGTTCTTAAGTTATAAGGTCTTAGGCATAATCTAAGTGAAAAATTATTATTCTTATACCTGACATTCTCATAACTTCTAAGCTATAAATCCTATAATTTTCTTTATGGTGTCAATTGATTTAGTGTTAAACATGCATTTAATTTTCTTATATTTAGCGAAATGAAATATTGCTTGTTATATTTAGCAAAATGAAATATTGCTTGCCATAATTAGCAAAAAAATTATGCAAATATTTTATTTGTATTTGTAATGCATTTCCATATCTATTTGACTCGTGAGTTTCCGAGTATTATGTACTGTTTTGTTACTAAGAAAGTTACACACTTAATGCATGTTTCCTTTTTCTTGTAGCATTTTACATGAATTTGTACAACGCTCTCCTTTGTTGGAAGACAAAAAGTCTCAAAAGGATCTTCAAGTATGTTAAAATGCTTAATGAATTATACATTTTCTCCTACTAATAAAGCTTATACAATGATAAATGTTCCATTTTTATAATCAAAACTATCACTTTAATTTACGTTGATTTATAAGTTTATTTATCTACATCGATGGGCAAATCGATTGATTCGATTGAAAACAAATTGATAAAATATTTAATTTAAAAACATTGGCTCTCAATTGCTATGCAGTGAAAAGGGCAGGCCACATAGTATAATCATAACTTATAGAAGAACATTAAAAACTAAAAATAAATAATTGAACATGTTTCATGCCCCCATGTGAGAAAAGTTGCAGTTACAATACAACATGCACAATTAAAGGTATTTGATTCCAGTTTAAAATTTTTTTAAAATTTTTAATATGGGTTGTTAAGTGGAAAATTAAATCTATGTAATAGGTGTTGTTTAAGTAAAAATTAAGATATGTAGATAAAAAAAAATTTCAGAACATGACCACTACTATGATCATTTGTTATGCTCATATTCCTGTAGTGGATGAGGGTTAAATTGAAAAATAAAAATTAAAAAATATGGAAAAAATATTGAAAAGTTTATTGATAAAATGGAGTGAGATGTTATTGTTGGAAAGAGTATTCTTGTTTTAATTTATGAAAAAAAATTTCATGATTTATGAGACACCCTGCATATTATATATACGCTCAATTAATTATATTTCAGGTTAACTGATGCCTCTTTATTTTTTTTAAAATAGATTTTTAAAACAATCTGTCAAATCATGATGTAACTCTAATTTGTTTCTTGTTAATTTACAAATGTTCATCATATTAGTTCATCATGTAGCCGTTTAATTTTAATCTTATAAGAGTAAAAATACAATTTAAATATCATTTGCATGCTTAGCTTTGTAATTTACACTGAAAATTGAAACTTAACAGTCATAAAATAAATTTTAAGAAACTAAATGTACTATCTTATTAGTATATTTACTATTAAGCATATATTTGTCAAAATTTTTACTCTATTACTATTCTCTAGGTGAATTATTAGTTAATCTGTGCAAAAATCTAAATCCCCTTTTAATTTTGTTTTGTTTATACATTAATTAATGTAAATTTTAATTAAATTATTACTTTATCTTTGTTATAGGATATAGCTCATAAGTTGATCGAAGCATGCAGTAATGTTGCTTGTGATAGCTTGGAACAAACAACTTGGTTGTGGCGTAATTTAGCTGTTAGACCTGGTCCTCAGTCTGATATATCAGCTGCTGTTGAAGATGGTGAGATAATTATTTTTTTGCATAAAAAGTTATCAGATTTTTTCCTTGTTAATTAATTAAAATTTCAAAATTTTCAAAATTGAATTATGTAAATGACATTCTTGTGCAAGGTTATTGAATTTAATTTTAATACCTCTTTTACTACATTTACTTTTGTCTTTTTGTTAATGATACTATATTTGTAGTTATTGAATACCATTTTCAAAAGGTAATTATTGCACATATTTTTATCTACTAATTCCAATTTTATAAACTTAAACAAATGGTCAAAGATGAGTAATTTAACTAGTTAAAGTAGATGTGTCTATTACTTATAATGGCATGAATGTGGGTAGCAAATAGTTTTATTTAAACTTAGTTCTAAAGAATAAATACAGCTTTTATGATGTTCTACTCATACATGAAGCAAAACTCTTTGTAGCTTATCCGTAATGTCACCTAGAATAATTAATTTAACTGAAAAAAGTGTTATAGCTGGTAATATATTTTTGTACCTTATTTGTGGGATTAATCCTAACCTTAAATGCTCTGCATTATGCTTTAAAATTTAAACTGTTTTTTTAATCTATGTTTTCCTAACTTGGTCCTTTCGCAAATGGCAGCCAGTCAAAGTAAAAGCTTATATGTTGCTTTTAAAATCAGTTTTCCTATTAAAGTATATTCTTTAGAAAATTTGCATTCTTTAGGTTTAATAAAACTCCTTAATGTTGAGGCACCAAGATATCTTGTCAACTTTTCCGATTGTCCTTTTTTTCCAGCTTTAGTTTATAAACACTATTTAATTTTTATGCCTGAAGTTTGTAACAAAGTTTTGCACTATATAGTAAATTTTTACTATTTTGCCATTAATTTTCTAAACTCAATTCTATGAAAATTCATAAACCTTTTGAGTATGGTACATGCTAAATCCTTTTATTCTGATACATTTGTTGTACTAGTTATAAATTTAAAAGATTTAAGGTTTCAATCTTTAGTTTATAGTAGTTAGTTTAGGAATAATTTCAAACAATAATTGTTTTTTTAAAAATAAATATTTTTCAACTTTCCTTTTGTGATGACATATTTAAATACTTCTAAATGTCAAAACGTATTCCTAATTTTGTTTTAGTGAAGGCAAGCTTCTTTCATTATTTTTTTAAATATATACATATATTAAATATATACACTTCTATGCCAAGCTTGTTACAATAAGAGACTTTTTCTTCAGATTTATAATATTTGTATCAGTAATTTCTGAAAGAGATTTATATATTTTATGTTATTTAGAGGGTCATTAATTTTGTATTTAAAATTTTCACTAAATTATCTGGCTTTTAAAATAGTTGCCATCATTGCTGTATGCTTTCCTCTCAAAAATTTGCATATTAAAAATGTCATTATTCCCATAGAAAAGAATTAAAATTGAACAGTGCCTATTTCCTTTAAATGAAATGATTTATTATGAAATATTGTTCATAATTATTTTATTTAAAGTGTTTAATTATTTTTTTTCGTTGAAGTCTAACCAAATGAACTAAATATTTTAAAATGTTATACTTTTGAACAGAATCAGTTTTAAAATATGTTACTTAAGCTTTTTGATTGCAAAAAATGTATAAATTTGATAAAAATAGGAAATTATAATGCTGCGCCATTTAATTATGAGTGCTACTTGAAGCTTATCGTTTACTAAACTTTGGCATAACACCCATTGTTAGAAATACAATGGAAAAGTAAGATGAATAAACATCTTTTTTTATTTATAACATATAGACATTTTTTGTTAGAACTTACTTTTTTGTTAGTACAATTTAGAAATCTGTAACAGATTGCTGTTCTTTTCCTGTAAATTAGTGGGAATGCAGGCAGTTTCCCATTGTTTTAAAGACTTTAGGGCCATCCACAAAGGTTGTCACTGCTTGTGGTTCTGTTTCACTCTCTTCATTGGCGTCATCTTGCTCTTCTTCAATTTCTGCAACCATTTTTTTAACTGACATCACATCTCAAGTTTCCACATTTTCTTTAACTGATGCATAAGTATCAAATTACATGTTTAAAACTCTTAACTAAATAGCAAATCCTAATTTTCTTCTTCATCATTAGTATCAAGAGTTATTGCTTTTATTTCTCACAATAAAATAACTTTAGTTTTTATCAAATGTCCTTAAAATTTCGGAATGATACATGTGGTAACTTATGGCATCAAAAGTGATCTAAACGGATATTATTAACATTTTTAGAAAAGTTTTTGTGATGGGATCAGTTAAACAAGACGATACATATGGGAAAACAAAAGTTGCAGGAATGTTGCATTGAGGTTCAACTGTGTTTATAATTTTTGAATTTTAATTTTGCATTAAATACTTTGCGTGTTACTTCACATTTTCTCTTAATTTTAAATAATGTTACTATAAATAAATATTTAGAGGATACAACTCTGGAAGAAGATGAGACCTCAACGTTAAAGACAACTTCCAGTTCTACCTCTCTTCATTTAAATAATGCTCAATACAGTGTTCAAGCTTTATGCAGCCTAGCAGAAGTAATTTTGAATTTATTTGTGTTATTTTTTTAATGAAATTTCCTGATGTCTTTTGCAAATGACTATGTCACTTGTTATTTTCATATCCAGAATAGCTCATTGCTAATACAGCTGAAAGTCACGTATCCGGAAACGGTGTGGCTTCCGGAAGTCCGGTTATTAGATTTTTCCGTATAATAGATCCCCAAGGTAAACAACGCTTAAAACGATCTGAATCTAAGAACAAAAAATAAGTGAACATAATTTTTTGGACAATAATGTTTTAGTATTAGAATGGCATTTAATCAATCAAAAACAAAATATTAGAAAAAAAATTATTTTATATAATATAGAAATAAAATTATTATTTTTAATTATTATAATATGTATGTTTGTGTATTTTTAGGTAGCATTGATTTGCTTCAAATTCCTTTTGCATCTTTGTCTTATCCCCCTCTTGGAGATAAGACAAAGATGCTAAAGGAACGAAGAGTAAAATTGCAGAAAACTAGGGCGAGGGCTGATTTCAACTATATTTAGTTTAAAAGCTATTCTTTAGTAGGAGCCTCTCAGTTAAATCTTTTATCTCAGTTTATCTTTTTATATTTATTGTATAATTTTTATTTTATTGTAAGCACAAAAGACTCTACAAGACTATACTTATTAAAAAAAATTTAAATATACTATTAACCATTAATTATATTTGATGCCTTCTTATTGATTGTTAATGTATTTAAAACAAACCTCAGATTCAGTATTATGACTATTTGCTTAATATTTTTGCATATTATTTTATGTCTTCATTTAAGCAATTATAGCGTGTTCAAGCATTTGTTTGACTGCATACAACTTCAAAAGTATTTACTGAAAATGTGAATAATGTAGTTTTCCTAATTCCTTGCATAGGATAAGTAATGTTATAAATCTCACTTAATGCTTATAGGTCAATGGTGATTTAGACAATTTTTTTTTTACATTATTAGTTTTAAATTGAAGATCATAAAATGTTTTGTGAAGTATAATGTGTTTTGCCATTTTTCTGTTGTTGCAAATATAGATCATAATTTCTTTTTTTTTAACAAATTATTTAGTAGTAGCAGTTTACTATTTTGTTTTTATTATTAATTGTGTTTAGTAATGAAAATATTATTACGTAATGAAATTATTATATTAACATATGAAAATATTGATTTAATTCTGTGATGGATGGAAGTAAAACTTTTTTAAAATAGCATCAGAGAGAAACGAATGAAAAATCCCTGTTATTTGGTCACCTAAAATTAGTAGCTAGCACCCACTATTTTAACACATTTTATAATGTTTTATAATAGTCAAAAATATTTCTGATTATTTTTGAAAGAAAAATATTAGGTTGAGGGTATCATTTGCACCAGGTATTGTTTTTTGGCCTGCTTGTTTTATATAGCATCCATAAAAATTATTATCAAACATTTTTGTATTATTCTTAATATCACAAATTCAACTTAAAATTTCATGATATCAAATTTCGGGATATTGTGAATCTAATATTAACTGAATGTCAAATATTTTTAACATTTTAGCCTAAATAATAATTTTACTGATAGTTTAGAAGTTGTTTAAGAAATTGAAATTCATTTTTGGCTTCTAATACATATCAGAATTTATAACATTTCTGGTTCCTTTCAATCACTACATACATACTGCTACATTACTGTCCATAGTATCTACTTCTTTTGTGTTCGATAAGTTAGCAAGTTTTTAGTAATCTTATGTGTGAATATTCTTATCTGTATATACATATGTTACATGTCTGCTACTTACAATGTTACATATTTATATATACATATGCTACATGTCTGAATGGATGATTCTGACCACTGGTTTTTTACTAGAGTTTCAAGACGTTGTTCATAAAATTGTCCAAGAAAAGTTTTTAAGGATTGAAGTTAATGCAAGAATTTCCCGTTTTTCAAAATTAAACAAATAAAAAACTGTTGATCAAAAACATTTTTAAAAAGCAAGGTTTGCCAGGAAATATATTCAGCTAAAAGAAGTTTTTTGTTTTGCTATTAATGTCACAAATTGGTAGAGAATTCAGATTTTATTAACGTACAAAAATTCTTATTATCAAAGTTTGTGATATCAGGGTTTGACTGTGTTTCAATAGTTCAATATCTATGAAAATTGTTTTTAAATGTTGTCACACTAGCAAATAATTTAACATAAGTCTAGCAATTGTGGATTGATTATATGCTGAGGTTGAGCTACAAGGAAGAAATGGCAAAGTGCTAATGTGTTGTAATTTCCTGGTTGTAGCAAATTTCTCATCCAATGTTGCACTAGGTTTAGCTACCTGATTCAAACTATAAATATTTTTTTTGAAAAAACATAAAAAATCAATCAGATGCATGCGATTGCCAACAATGCAGGTGAAATCCTGAAAATACATCATTAATAAAAAAAAGTGTTAAAATTGATGATTCTGCGTTACTAAAGAAGAAAATATTATTTTACGTATTATAAGTTGTTACAGACATTAAAGATCTAGTATTCATTTTTTCATGTATATGAAAAAAATTAATTAATTATGCCTGAAAAGATTTAGAAGTTAATCAATTTATATTTTAAGTTTTTAGCTCCAGTGTTGGATTTTGTTTATGTGGGAGAAGAAAAGGAGAAAGTGGTTCCATTGTTAAGCAGCATAATGCACTATGTTACTCCTTATTTAAAAAACCACAGGTATATTGCTGAATTTATTTATTTCATATTCTGTGTAAAAGTAATGTTTTCTTTTTTGATTAAGTTTTTAAAAAATTATTTATTTTTTTACAAATGGAATATATGACAGTATCTCTTATTAAAATTAGTTTAATAATTACATCTGTTCTTAGAATTTTTGCTGAAAATCTTATAGTAAGTCAGAAATAATACACCAGCTATTATTTTCATTGCACTAGTAAATTTACTTGTAAATATATTACTACGTTTTTAACTTAGATACCTACTTTTTTCTTATGTAACTTATTTTCTCTTCTTAACTGCTATATATTTAGTCACTGTCAAGATCAAGATGAAGAACTTAAAACTAAAATTACTAAAAATACTAATAAATATAAAATAAACAAAAGGCTTTATCCTTTTGTTTATTTTGCAGACTAAACATACTACTTTATTTTTTCTTTCTTTCTATGAATTACTAAAAAATAAAATAAAGTGTGAACATTCTTAATTCATTCCCAAATTTTATGATAAAAATCATCAGTGTGAATAAAAATAAAAGAAAAAAACAATAATTCCAGTCCACTTTAGAAATTTTACTTCCGCATATTTAGGCAAAGAGGAGGACAACACAATTTTTTCTGTAGTTAGACAATTCCGAAAAATTCGATTTGATTTCAATGGACGCACACAAATTTTGTTAACTAAAGAGTCACCATGCAAAAAATTATACAATTCTATCTCTTTCTAATAAATAAAAAACGCCGCAAAAATATTTTAATAATGCATTTATTGTTAAATTTTTGTTTTTAATTTCTTGAACTCTTAATTTTTTTTATAAGTTCTACTGATTTTTTTATTATATTTTTTTAAGTTCTACTGATTTTTTTTATAATTTATTATTTTATTTTATAGTTTTTAATAAAAATAAAACATGCTTGGAGGTTATTTAGAATATAGTTTTAACTTAAAGATTTCTAACGTTTAAAAATTTCTTTTCAAGCATGACATGATGTAAATTTTTGACTTAAAAATTACTTTTAGAAAGCGAATCTCATTGACCTGTAAACATATAAAATGAATTCAAAGTACCTTTATTATTAGAAAACTGTGATTTTAATGATGTATGAACCATAGGAGCATAGTCTAAATTAAAAATGGGAAAATAAATTCTGAAATATGATATAAGAGAAGAGTGGAAAAAGACTTCAAATATTTTCAACTGATTGTATACGAAGTAATAATTATTGATTTAAGCTTAATTTTTAGTTTTTTTAAAAAATTTGTTTATATAATTACGCAATAATTTATTCTTTAACCAAAAAAAAAATCAAAGTTAATAAAATTTTATCTACCTATTTTTAAATAATAAAAACTGTTACACTTACATAGGGTTATAGTCTGTTGATCATTTTGTAGTGATAAGCATCATAATGTCTCTTTCTTTTCTTCTTTTTTGAAAAACCTTGTTGTTTTTATCCTTAAAAAGGCTTTTTATTTTATTTCAGTGCTCATAACGTTCCCAGTTTTAGAGCTTGTTGTCAACTACTTGCTAATATTTCTGGCTATCAACATACCAGAAAAGCTTGGCGCAAAGAGGCATTTGATTTAGTATTAGACACCTCATTTTTTCAAATGAATTATTCTTGTATAGGGTATTGGCGATCAATTATAGATCATCTTATGACTCATGATAAAACATCTTTCAGGGATTTCATTGGTAAGTATCTTTTTTTAATGTAATAGTTATTAAAAATCTTAAAAAGCTAATTTTCAGTAATCTTCTAAAATTTTAATATTTGTTTTAAGTTTAAGTATTATTTATTTTAAGTATAGTAATCTATATCTATGTTTAGGGCAAAATAATAGGAATACCTGATTTGTAATGTGTTATACTTTAAACTCCAATACAACTTCACCATGTGTTGCAACAGTCTGCTACTTAATTATGGGGAAAGAAAAGCTATCGGTCGATACTTAGCCGATGTGAGTGCTGTATGAGAAAATTCTTTTCCCAACAAAGAGGCATGATACTTGGAATTCTTATTAAAATGTCTGTCTTGAACAGCCGCCCTTATGTGTGTTTAAAGGACCATTGTATCAAGAGTCATGATAGACCCTAGAAAAATGGAAACAGTGTCATCTGCAAGGCAGAACAGTAAGCAAAAGATAAAGTTGACCAGCCAAAACCTAGTGAAGAGGATAGCCCTCCCAAAAACTTGAAATAAATACCACAGATAATTTTTATACAAACATTCATATGCATAATGTTCGTATAAAAAATGCCCCATACTAATTAAACTATTCAATGGGAGCTGCATGCAAAGAACATTCATGGCAGGGTAGCTATCCTAAAATGGATTGTGTCATCACAGAATGCTATGAAATGATGACAGTGATACCAAGACCCCTAAAATAAACACAACAGCTATGAGAGTTGGTAATCTGGTCTGACAAATCATCATTTGCAATATTTTAGACCAACAAACGTTTATGTATGTGACATGAAGCATGGGGGTGATGTTGATGAGAAGCATGGAGGGGGCTCTGTGTTAGTGTCAATCTTCTGTTGAATACAAGCTGTAATTTTGACTCAAAATTTTGCATTCTTCTGCAGAGTTTTTTACTTGGTACCTTAAAAGAGAGAGGGACGAAGGATGTTAAGGGCACCTACATGTCAATAATAGAAAAAGGTTTGACTACACCTGAAAAGGCTAGTTTTAGTTATAATACGTTATGTATGTTAAAAACAGCTTTTTATTAATATATCTTTGATTTGAAAAATAACGTTGCATTTTTAGTTGATGATGAAAATAAATTAGGATTATAAGTTTTTTCTTTAAAAAAAATAAGATAGTCTTGATTTTACTCATTTTAACTATGCATGCTCATAATCTTTCATATAGTTTTTTTAACGATTCACTGCACAAATTTCCTTCTTAAATGTTAGCATTTTTTATGTTCAGTTATTTGAAATGTATTATTTTTCTACAAAAAAAATTTCTCTTAATAATGGATCTGTGTATTAAAAAAATATACTACCCTCACCACTGTTTTAGGACACATTTACTGCATGTGCTTCTCACTGTCAGAAGACAAAATCTTTGGTTTCAGTTCAAATATGAAAAAAACATAGAGAGGATACAAATAAAGTTATGCACTGACTGTGGTACATCCTCCATCGCAAAAAGTAGAAACCAAAATTGTTGGCTACATTTGGTTAAAGCAGGTTCAAAATAAAAGTTTTGATTGCTTAAATTTAACCCTTTTCTTGTTTTGAAATTTTTTGTTTTGTCTATCAATCACTTTCAGCATATGAGCATATTAATAAATAGATCTTTATCCGTTTTTAATATGCTTATACAGAGAATTTTTCTTCTTGAAATCTTTTATTTGTTTTTTTTTCGACCTTGAAGATTTTCTTTCCTTCTCCTTTCCTTATGATTTGTTTTAATTTATCTAAAAATTATTTAAAGTGTCGATTTATTTATTTTAACCTAGGATTTTATAATTTTTAATGATTTTAAATGTTTTAATCTTCTGTTTTTTAGTTTACTATTTGTTTAGTGTACTTTAAAAAAAATTATTTTTTAATGAAGTAAAAAGGCTGAAAGTGATTAAAATCGTGAATATTTAACATTTTTATTTTCTTTGTTCTGTTTCTGAATTTTTTTCCATTAATGAATTTCAAGCTATTTTATGCAAAACTTTTGTTTTGATTGAATAGTTTATAGTATAATACTTGATTTACTGATTAAATATTTGATAATATCTCTAACAAAGGGCTGCAATAAATAAGTTATGTTACTGTGTGAAAGATGTTTTAGAAGTAACTATTTAATATTTGTTTAATATCCAAAAGAGTGACTTGCAAAACAGTGCTAATTGAAGTTTTTTTTTATTCAAAACTGCAGCGATAAACTTATTTTCTATCTTTTTGCTATTTGTTGTGAAATTTTTGTGCTCAGTTGCTATGAACCTCAAATATACTTAATGGTAGATGTAGAGGAAACCATAATGTTTAGCAAAAAATATGTGAAAATAAATAATTTAAACTTATTTATCCATACATAAAATGATTTTTCAAGCATTTAAATATTTTAAATGTTTTTATTGAATATTTCTGTAACTATTTTCTTATCAGTGAAATATAGGATTGTTGAAAAATTGTAATGTATGCAACACTGATAGATTTCCCCATAACATTATTGTTTAAGTTAATTTGATGTCTTAAAATTCAATGAAAAAAGTTTTTTTAGTGTTAATTTTATTTAAATAGAAAAGTGGATTACATAAGTAATGAATATTTATTCATAATACATAAATATAATATAAATATCAATGAAATTCAGAATTGTTGCTATTAATGTTATCACCTTTTAAGAAGTGGTAATTTATAATTAAATATTTTAATATTATTTAGTAAATTTTTATTAAGTATATTTCATTAAAAGATGAGAAAAGTAGAACAACCCAGTTCACTTTTTCAGAAATTGTCTCTAATGTCTTTCATGATACTTTCATTGCAAGAAAGGGATTGAAGTAAGACTTCTCCACATCATTTGATTCATGGGAAATTCATTACTGTGAAACACTAATTTGTGAAATTTTTAATGTTTTTTCACTTCTACTAATTCTCTTGAAAATCCTTTTTTGTACTTTATTATAGCTATTTTGATTTGTTTGGGTTTAAAGGCATTTTGATAATAAATTTACCTCCCATAATAAGGTTTTTTTTTTAACCTGTCCTAAAGTCCTTCCTCTATACTTTACAAAAGTTTTATGATCAACTATGTAACATGTGCTTTTATTGGCTACTATACAATGAATAATAATTTTTAGAGGCAAATAAATTAAATAGTTATATTACTTTTATAAGAAATAGTCAAACTTTGCTCAATAATTGATTATTTTTTTTAGCCCGGGTCTCCGTTGCTCAATCTGGATCACTAAACTTATTTAGTAGTAAGGAACAAGAATATGAATTACGATCTCAACTATTAAAGCGTTTGGCTTTTGTTATATTTTGCAGTGAAGTTGATCAGTATCAAAAATATATGCCCGATATTCAAGGTAAATGTTTTTCCTAATGTTTAGTAGCATGTATTTAGACCATAATTATATTAAAATTAAAAGTACTGAGTAATAATATTCAATCACTCAAATTTATTCAATACCCACTACTATATTTATCATACATGCCCTCAGATTGAGATATCTTTAGCTTTTTATATACATTATGTAATACTTTCAATTTGATAAATAATATGATAAGTGTGAAGACTTATTATTTTGTATTGGTAGTTTCTAGTTATGTTAAGTATTTTATTTATTTAAATAGTGCAACATTTTTACTAATTAGATAATGGATAAATTATGTCCTGAAAACAAATATTTTTGGTACTAAATCTTGTCTTTCATGATGTGTTTTAAAGTTGTTTTTTTTACATTCATACCAAATTTTCTTGTTTAATTTTTTAATTTGTGTTCAGTATGCATTTCTCTACCTCTAGAACATAACACAAAACTTGAGATTAAAAATTTGTTTGCTTTCAGTGTTAAATTTGTTGTTCATTTGAAGATAAACAGATCTAGAAAAAATTGAATTACTTTATGGATTAGCAAGTGGAATTTCTCAATTCCTTTATGGAATTTCTCAACTTTTCACTGTATTATAAGGTTCATTGTAATGGAGTAGTCATTCTAAAAAGTGTAGACTATTTTAGAGAGAAAAGCAAATGAATCAACAATAATAACACCTTTTAACAAACATAGTTGGAACACTGAAATGCTTTCTTGTTTTCACATATGCTTCTTTTATAGCCAAAATTTCCCTAATCTCTTAAACTTTATTCTGTTTAATTTGTACAAAAGAATGCATTAGTTTTTTTCTAATTTGCTTTAAGAAATATCATGCAAATTTGAAAAGTATGCAAATGATTTTTATTATAAATAAAGGAAATGTGTATTCTTTCTTTTCTGAGATAAATGCTTGGTTGTTTACTAAATATTCTTTTGAAAATTAAATCTGTTAAAGATATGTTTAGGAATGAAAAGCTATACATCCAAAACGTTATGATCCTATCATTAATTTTAAGCTTACTTTTTTTTATCTTAAGATATCATGATACTGCACCTAGTTGCTCCTAAGAGGTGTTTTCTAATAAATGACATTAGCAGAAATCTATGACTATAATTTTTGTGTCTGTTGCTTTTGCATTAAATATATATTATTATAATATAATATATAAAAATATATTATTAAAAATGTGTATAATTAAAAATATATAATTAAAAATATGCATAATTAAAAATTTATTATTAAAAGTTACTTTTTTTCAATATTATCTTAGCTAAATGTTAAATATTTTTTTGCATTTCAGAAAGGCTGACAGAAAGTTTAAGAATGTCTCATGTTCCTATCGTTCAAGCTCACATTTTCTTATGCTTTCGTGTTCTATTAATAAGGATGACTCCTCATCATGTTACTTCTCTTTGGCCTGTAATCATCACAGAAATGGTTTGTTCAATTTTATTTAAAGTTTAATATTGTTTCATTTTTTCTAAAATATTTTGATTTAATTTTTATATTTTTTCATTTGTAAATGATATAATATGTTTTGGGACTTTTTTTTTTTTATTAACAAGAGAAAAGGAACTTATTTTTTCCTGTCAACACAAAACAGTGTACATAAATTGGAGAAAATACATTTTTACTACAACTTAATAATTTATTGAGCTCATCTTTATTTTAGCTCATTATATTTAATTAGTGTATATCTAACATGTATTTTCTTGGTGTATTTTTAATGTTTGTTGGCTGATTTTATTTTTCAATTTTTGAATTTCTGAACAATTTCTAGTTATTGTACAATGTTGCTATCCATCAGAGCATTTGTCTTTAAGTGTTGGAATGTGACAATAAGTAGTTGCCACATCACCATAAACAAAAAATGATTGAGCAGTGATTTCACTTATTCATTGTAATATACCTGAATTTAGATCCTAAGTGCTCTTTACCACTTTAATTGTTTCATAAGTTCAAATAGGCAGTAGCTATGTAGAAGTCAATAAGTTATCAAGACAATAATTTAAAGACCATATCCAAAAATCCTGCATTTAAATATATTTTGTATCATCCATTTGTAGGAAAAGGTGGCAATCCAAAAAATTCTACGATTTATCAGGCCAAGTATCGCTTAGGTGACTACTTTGTTTAAGCATTTCTGGTAATACTGTAATTACACAAACAAGAGTTTAAAGCTGCTAGGGCTAATTATAAGGAGTAATCTAATTATAGTCATTATTGTAATGCATTATAATGATCACTTTTTTTAAGATGTCATGGGTTTGCATTTTCATACAGCCATATAATGAAGCTAATTTTCACATGCTTATTCCTTTTTTACTATCTTGAATAACTTTTATTTTATTCTTAAATGTAATGAATTTTCGCTTGCGATAAGCATTAGTGTTTCGATTATTCGTTTAGCTCTTATTCAGACATCCACTTTTCTAATATCTTGAACAGGAAGACAAGGAATAAAAATCATTAAACAATTACTGGTCAGACACATGTACTCATTATTTCTTTTGTGCAAGTTCTGGTAATTTCTACGAACTGTTTAAATTGAAAACTGACTGATGAGACATTAAGAATTATTGCTTATGTTGTATGTTAGAATAAGACTCCTGTGATTCTTGGCGACCACCCTTGAAAGTTGCTGCTTATCTGTAGAAGGCATAATTGAATTGCCAAACCATGACATCAATCCTATATAAGAGGTTCTTGTGTTCTAATTTGTTCTAGTTAGTCATTCCTTACTGTTTTTTGGAGATTGACATTGTTTAGAAGCTGTCATTAATGGAGGTTTTACTGAATATTTTATTAAGCTGAAAATATAGATAAAATGTTTTAAAACCATTACAAAGAATTTTTCTTAAAAATATTATTTGATAGTATGGAATTCTTTTTAAATATCATGAAGTGAGCAGAATTTAAGTATAACATTTTTACATAAAGCAAAACTCGTGCTAAAATTTAGTTCAGATTGATTTTTATTTTATTTTATAACCATCGGTGAAAAGACGACCCAACTTGTGGGTTCACGACTGCTAATGTTCAACTTCGTAGCCTTGTAATTTTCAACCCAATCCAGAAGACAAAGGAACTCCTGGATCAAGTATTCAGAGGACTTTTCGGTGGAACTACTATGCATTTGCGTTACATGGAGAGGAAGAACATAAGAATCTCCCCAGTTAGCCTGAAGGCTAAGAGACTCTAACCCATCATCTGTCTACCATTGAGGATTTCTCACATCAGTACTTTGGTTGGTGCAAGACGGATGGGAAACTCGTATCGACCAGCCATCTCTGGGATTTGAACCTGGTTCACCTCATTGGAAGGTGAATGCTCTATCCCCTAAACCATCTCAGCTCTCCAGAGTGATTTTATATCCGTCGTTGAACAGCCGACCCAAATTTGGGTTTACGACTACTAATAATCAACTCCATAGCCTTGTAATTTTAAACCAATCCAGTAGACAAGGAAACTACTGGATCAGTACCCCCAAAGATATTGATTTGTTATGGGAACATAGTGGACTTTGCGACTCGACAGATTTAACGTGCATCAGTCACCATTTACTACACGGGGAGTCTTCGGTCGGCTGGGATCGAACCCACGAACTCTTGGACATAGGCCCAGTGCCCTACCAACCAGGCTATCCTGGCCTCTCCAGATTGATTTAAAATTTTCTATTTATTAAAAAAGCTAATGATCATAAAATGTTGCTGACAAATTTCTTGCATAATAAATACTTTTTATTGCAGCAGCTAAAAATGAAAAAAACTATAGTTCCTTGGCAAAAAATTGTATATACACTGTCTTCGACCACAATTTAAGTCAAATGACTGTATAGAATTAAAAGGACGGTATTGAAAAATTGTTAGCATGAAGCTGAATATCATATTTACTACTTAGTACATAATTAAATGTATTTGTTTTTTTCATACAAAAATTATTAAATATTTTTTTAAATTCCTAAGCAAATATGGAGGGAGGAATAATAGAAATATAAGATTTTTCGCTTTTTCAAACAAAGATATAATCTTTATTTGAAATGAATTTAAAGAGGTTAAAGATGCACATTTTTAGCCTGTGCAGGCATGACACTAAATGGTTCCTGATAATTTTATCCTATCTGGAGGATAGGCATATAAATATTCTAGGTACTTATGGTAAATATTCTAGGTTGGTAAATATTCTAGAAACTGATTCCAAAACTTTGGAACATTAACAGGTTCTTGGTGAGTATCAACAAATTATATTTGTTGATAAAAATATGTTTGTAGCATTACTAGTTTCTCTTATAGACTTTTGTTTTTAATTCTTTAAAAGCACATAGGTCTTCATTATGACATTCATAATAAAACGTTGTCAATTCTTCGATAATAAATTTCCTTATTATTTCTCTAATATTAATAATTAATATCTTAAATCAGTCATTGTGCCAAAGATGAAGATGAATGAAAACATGTTCTAAAATGGACTACAACATTTAAAATTATTGAATTATTAAGTTATGTTGACTTTCTCTTTTTAGCTGCTCACTTTTACTGTGCTTAACAATTTCATATTTTTAGGTGCAAGTCTTCACACAAATTGAGTATGACTTATGTGTTGATTCTGAAGAATTTAGGTAATTACCTTACTCTCTTTTTTATTTTTTACCAGTTGTATTTTACAATGTATAATTTATGTAAGGTTTAATCAAATTTTGATTAATGTTTCAACAACCAGGGTTTTATTCAATGATTTCGATAACCTTGATAACTAGCATGAAAGTCTACTAGTCAACAACTTCTCTTTAATGTTATCATTCTCTTGTTTATTTTTATATTTTGTTTTATCTGATAAATAAGAAAGAGAAACAAATTGACTCAAATAAATTAAATTTTTGAATATCCATTGCCTTTTCATTATTCCTCTTTTACCATTAAACAACATTTCTTGTTTACTTCAATTATGCTAAATTTTTTTTCTGTATTATATATATATTTTTATAGGAAAAATAAGAAAAACTAATTCACTCTAAGAAGTAGCATTGTTAAATGTTATTTACCTTTTTAATGGAACATTCTTTTTTATATTCTCAGAAGCAGAAGTATTAGCTATCATTTCTGCAATAAAGCATTAGAGAGGTAAACTTATGAAAAACCGTCAGTTTCAGATAAAGAGTCAAAGTCAACTTGCGTGCCAGAAAATATGGTAATCCTTAATGACTCTTAAGACTGGCCAAATAACAGTAATTAGTAAAATTCTTTAAATTATTTTCTACACTGACACTGATGATTAAGAAGCATTAAGTTTAACCTTAAATGAAGATTTAATAAAAATATTATAAAATCCTGCAACAAATTTGAATTCAATGAAATTTTAAGTAAGCAAGCTTTTCATATATTTTTTATAACGAAATGTAACAAGACTATGCCTTTAGTACACAAATGTGAATACCTAGGATTAAATAAATACTAGAAGGGAAAAAATGTTAAGATTATTCTAAGTGTACACAGAAAATGTAGATACTTTTTTGTTAGCTGTTGACAATAAATTAAATACTCACTTATTGTTTTTAATGCTTGTAATTTGTTTTTAAAATGAAGAAAAATGTGGCTGTAGCTTTTGACTTGCTATCAACTGTGTTCCTTAATTAGAAACAAAATTTTATATAGAATCTTTGCTGCATACCACATCAGTTATTACTGTAAACAGAACACTTGTGTTGCACATGTAAAGCCCAAACTACATTGTTCAATCATTATATTTTTTCTGTAGTGCCTCTAAATCATTTAGGTACTCATATGTTCACATTTGTATGCTGCATGCATAATATTTGAGTTTAATATGCTGATTTTATTTTTTTGTTATGTTTAATATGTATTTTTGATACAAGTATTATAGTAATTTTTTATTAAACAGTGTCTGTTTTTTTAATTAAGCGAAATTATCTTTTTTTTACAAATTTGGTAATTAATCTTGTTGAATATGCTTTGCTATTTGTGGCATTTCGTTATGTTATGCTGACTTTTATTAGTAATATTGTTTTCTCTAATTTTACATTTTCTCTCTCTTTCTCTTTAACATTATATTCTTTTTTGATGGGTGTTTCCTGCTTCAGTGATGGTGTTGGTCTCAGAAAAATTCACAGGTACTGTAATATAAGAATAATGCTGCATGCAAATCTAATTCTTCCAAGCGTGCTTAAAAAAAAAACTCTGTTCAGCATGCTTTTTTTCTTTGGTTTACTATATTTCTCTTTTCCGTTCCTTATGCTTAATTATTTTTTTTATCTTAAAAGGCTACCTTTTAATAATATTCAAAAAGGATAAGACTCATTTTCTGAAGAAGAAAACTCCATTGTTTGTTTAAGTATAAAATTATAAAAATTATATATTACTTCAAAAATCATATTATTCAGCCGGTGAAGTCTATGGCATGTGAAAGTTTCATGCCGGAATAGTATGTTACTCAAAAAAGTTTAAAATTCCGTCTGATGATTATCATTCAAAATTTATTAGAATATAATGAACCTATCAAACACTTTTATAATTTAATTACTTTAATTCTTTCTAACATTGCTCTCTCTGTAAACAATTACTTTATTTTATCGTTCTTTCAGTACTTATTTCAACCCAATAATTTTACTAAATGAATTTTTGTTGTAAAAAAATATGCAATTTTTATTTTGCAAATCAATTTTAATAGTTTAAATTAGTTTGTATATTAAACAATTTCAAAAATTTTGCTTTTCTGAGTCTTTTAATGTATGTAGTTTGTCTAACAAAGTATTGTAATGTTGCTTACTGTACCAATTTGCTGAGAATATTAAATATTCTCCAATGCTGGAAAAAGTTATTATAGCTTTTAATGTAATAATAATTTGAAGGACTCTAAAGTGGTTTTAATGTTATAGAATTTTAAACATGTAATGAACTTTTGTAGTTGTTTTTGACATTTTAAATTTATTTTTAGTAAAATTGTTTGATAAAAAATCCCTTTATGTTATCAGTCAGCTGTAGTAAACAAAGGCATTTACTTATAAATGGTTTAAAACTTATATTTTAATAAAACTTGCTAAAAATTTACGGTAACATTATCCTAAACAAAATCCTTCATACACAAAGTAGTGAAAAATTCATATTATTCAAGTTAAAATGTTGCTGAAATGTAGCTTTTTTATTCCGTACTTAATTTAGTATAATACATCATTTTTGATCTAAGCATTATAATTTAAAATCTTCCTTCTTTAAAGAAAAACTGTGGCGTTTCTTGACTTCCAAAATTATTATTTTCAGGTATCATAATTCTATGAATATTTAAATTTATAAATTTGTTTAGTATATTGCATTTTTTATTTTCTACCACACCTTGAATTTTTTAAAATCCAATCTTATGAGCTTATGTATGCATGCATGTACGTACATAAGTACCTTCATTTGTTCCAGAGCTTGAAAACAAAATTATTCACTAATGTTTTTAAAAAATATTTCAATGTTGCTATTCAAATAATTATGAAAATTCAATTTTCTATCCTAAGCTATTCGAATTCAATTTTCATAGTATTTATTATTTATTACACAATATTTAATTTCTACATGAAAATATTATTTTTAAGTATTTAAAATAGATATTTTCAGTGAACATTAAACCAAAATTCTACAAGTGTCACAGGAATAATAATTCTTTATGAAACTATATGCATTAAATAGGTTTTATGTCTTTAGTCATAGGTTAAAATGATTTTTTCAGAAAAAAAAGTTCCATTTTGTTATGAACAGTTACATTTTTTCCCTAATATTTTGAAAATATTAAATCGACAAAATCACTAATGGAAATTGAACAAAAATTTCAGATGTTCATTCAATTTTATATGAAATAGTAAATGCTTTTCAAAGAAAATATAAAAACGTCTAAATGCTAATGATGTAATAATAATTTATACTAATTTATACAATAATAATTTAATAATAATTTCAGATTAATAGAGAGAAGAATTCTTTATATCCAAGTGAAAATACTCTGCAGAATAAATATTTCAACTCAAACGTGAAAAAAATATGTTTTTTGAACATTTCTTATTAAAAACAGTGCAAGCAATCATGTATCAGAATATAAAATCAAGTAATCTTATCAGTTACTTAAGATATTAGTGTGATAGAAACATACACTTTTGTGATTCTACATGTTTCACATGGCACTTAAAAATAGTCTTAATTTCTAATAATTTAATATTCTTTTATCAATTGGATAAATACGGGGTTTAACCAAATGGGTTTTTAAATAAATGCTAAGCTTTGTTTTTTTCTCAAGAAATTCTGACTAATAACTTAATTTTTTATTGTATAAATAAATAGATTTTCAATTAAATGTAAATAGATGAAAAATCCTTCATTTTCCATAAAATGTTTTGTCAATCCTATCTTTTATTGCTATTATGAATATGTATAACTTTAAATAAACGTAAATATGTAATGTTACAATGTTATAAATCATTGCAATCCTGAAAATATATCGGTGTAAAATAAATTACTATGAGCAAATGCAAAGTTAAGTCATAGTATCTTTAATAAATGCTTAAAATTAAATAGACTATCACCAACTCTATGTTCTGGTTCTAATGGTTTCTAAAATGAAATAAACTATGTAATTAAGTGAGCGCAAGCATTTTAATTACTTAAATAAAAATTGTTACCAAATCAAATAATGATTAACATTTTTATTATATGGAACATATAAATCTCTCGCTAGACTCACTAGTATAAATGGAAATGGGGTGCTTTCAGTTTATTTTTAAAATAATTTTATGTAGCAATCCTTTTGATAACTAATTCCTTTGTTAATATTTTGTTACCTGTGAAGGACCTTCACTATTAGACAGTTAAATAATTGCAAGTATTTAAGCATTTTCAAAATACTTATTTTGCAAATGCATGTTATATACTGCAACTTAGTGTTTTAAAATTAATTCTACCTAATGAGACTAGATGGAATTCCAATCAGATGCTCTTAAAATTTATGGCCAAAGTTTACTTACGCTTCTTACAATTTTCTAAAAGAAATCAAAATAAAAAATCAAGAAAAGTGTTAAAAATTTTGTAGGTATTTGCAAGTACTCCCGTATGTAATTAAAATATAAAAGTTGGGGTATTGAATAAAGCTAGTGTAAAAATATATGAGCAAAGAGAGCCTAGATCTCACCATTCTAGTTGTTGGTGAACAATATTGTTCATAGGGCAGACGAGTCTTATTTTTTATTCCAAAATTATTTTGACTAAAAGCATTTAAAATTCTTTTTAAATATTTTTAAAGTATATATATATTTTAATATTTATTCTGCTTAATTTTTAAAAGCATATTGTTTTATATAAACCTCTTTTATGTTAAAATAAAGGACAATAAGCATCTTATACCAAATTTTCAAATCATTATTTTTATAACATAACTTTATTAGCATATCAGCATATATGTTATGCTGCCCATTTTTCACTACTGTTCTTTTTTAATTCTTCATTATTTTTAAATATTTATTTACTAAGAAAAGTATATTAGCTTCAATATAGACTGTATATTTAATGCAGTGCAAATTTTAGGAAAAAACCAAGAAAATTTTAGTAAAAAGAATGAACGATTTTTATGTTTTAAATTGTATAATATAAACATATGAAATTTTCATATTCCTTACGTTAAGAACCATTTTATTAACCTATTCATACTTTCTAGTAAATCATCGAAAATTTTAAGTTTAAATCATTTTTAAAATTCGTCAAAAGAAAGAAAATTGAAATATCTTTCCGTCAGGCATCATCCAAGTATATATGATTCAGAAAATTAACCTGATTAAATTTTTTTTTTAAATATTACTACAAAATGTATTCTCTATACATCTATTTTTAATTTAATTAATATTCTAAATTATTTCTGTTTATGAACAGCAATCTACAGTGGTAATGCATAATTTTCTATGTTGGTTTTAATAACAATTATTAGCTTATTCATTGTATGATTAACTTGTTTTTGGTATATATTTCAGTTCACACTTACGTCGAATGTCGACTTTGGATTCTTCTTTTGTAATGAATAGCAGTAATGGTTTAAATGCTCATAACCATCCAGCATGGTTACATTTGTATTTGTCAGCATGTAAACTCTTAGATATGACCGTTTCTTTGCCTGCTAATATTCTTCCACAGTTTCAAATGTAAGAGGTTATGTTTATTTTACTGCATATTTCATTGGAACTAATAATTCATCACATTAAATTGGTTAGATTTATTTTATTCAATAGTACTATAAAACGATCTTAACAATATATTGTAAGCAAATGCTAAAGTTTTCTTCTTAATTGATCTTGTCTTAATTGATTTAATATTTAGTTGGCTTCAGTTGAATTGAAAAATTTAGTTGGTATAGCAAATACTGATTGTTCTAATCAAGACATTACAGTTAATGAAGAGTACTAAGTATCTAGAAATTGATGTTTTACCATACTTTGGAACTTAAGTCCGCATTATAACGTTAAATATAATATTTTACGAAACTCAATAGCATTTTAAGCAAAAAGCAAACTAGCAAATGTAAAGCAAATTAGTTTTTAATAAGTATGTTATTATAAATAAGCAAACATCATTGATGATGCTATTTCATTTTCTGTAAAGGAATGTTTAAATTTTATTTAAAACTAACAAGGAAATATAATCATTTAAAAATTTTAAGAACTAATTCATGATCAATTTAAATTTTGTGAACCTATTGTATTTCTTTAAATTAAATTATAGAGAATTTAATTTTAAGAAATACAATATGTTCACAAAATATTATTCAAATTTTTTTTCTAAATTATGGAGAAATGATATTGGAGAGGAGAGGAGCTACAAAAAGACGTAACAGAAGGTGTTGCCAAGAAATCCATTCAGCATGCTCAAATTTACTCTTCAGTTCAAGCAGTTGTGAAGATTGTTTTTATGCGCTAACTGGTATCAATAAGCATCCAGAAAACTTATTTTACCATTGAAGCTTGAAAATATGTTGACATTTTTCATGATTCTATATCCTTTTACTGAAACGAAAATGTTATTGCACTATTTATACTATGCTAAAAACTAAATTAGTTAGTGCCTCTGAATATTTACTTTTAACATTGATAAGCTAATACTCTTTATCCAAAGCTTTCATTTATTTCTTTTACTTCAAAAAATGAATTTTTTCAAAATTTCAGTAAATAAGTGCTTACAATTTTTATTTGCCATTTAAAAAGATATTAGAGTTAGATATATTACTAGAAATAATATTTGAATATCTAAATGTTCGCAGTTATAATAAGAAGTTGCACTTTTTTATAATTTTATATAAATTTCTAACTCTATTTCATTGTAAAAAAATTCATGAAAAATATAGTTTTTAAGCTTTTGACTCCACTTTTAAGAAATTAATAATTGATTAGGTAGACAAAATTCAAATTAATTTTAAATATTATTCTATTTATGTCTAATTTCTTTGAATTTTCTAATGCATTTTTAGGTACCGCTGGGCTTTTATTGGTGATAGTCCACCATTGTCTTCTGATACTTTTGAGGAAAGTACAACTGACAAAGTACCTTCTCCAGAATTTGTACCTCATATTAAAAGATTGGCTAACTTATTAAATAAAAAGGTGATTTTAATATTATACTTTTAATAGATTCCCAATACGGTATTAATGCTTAATTGCATTCAGCATTAAAATTTAGAAATTCTGTTGATTGATTTATAAGTGTGGTGATTTTCATATTTAAACAAAAGACAAAATCACTATTTTCCTAATATTAAAACCAGAAACTTTACACCCTTTTTTCTATAAAATATGACTTAGATTTAAAGACATATAACATAGATTTAGTAAGTGTAAATCTGCAATATATAGTATTTTATCATGTTACACATTTGTTGTCACTGAATTACAATGATATTCTAAAGTACTTTGATGATATGTGTGTCTATTTATCTAACCTCTATACAACTGAATTTTAATAATCCAATTCTCAGTATCGTAATTATGAAAATTTTTCTTATTTTACTGATGACAATTCCATTTTATTACTTAAAAGTTTACAATCCCTTAATTTTTTTTTTTAAGTTTCAGTGTTAAAATTACTATCTCTCATAATCCTTCGGAAATACTTGATTTTTAGAGGAGGCAAGATGCATGCTGTTCTAGACTCAAAATTATCTTTCCAACTTTGAAAAGCAATAACGTTAAATACAAATAAGATAGATAAGCTAACAGTTGGGCTGAAAAGTTCGTAGGCTAACATAGAAAAAAAAATTTTTTTGATAAAATTCCATTTTATTATTTAATATAGTTTCCTTCAAGGGCGATACAACGTTTATAGCGGTCGTATAATTTTTCGATGCCATTTTTATAATACGATTTTTCTTTAGCCTCAAAATAGGCCTTTGTTTCGGTGATTACTTCTTCATCGGCGCCAAATTTCTTTAAAAGCAAGCATTCTCTTGAGGTCTGAGAACAGGAAAAAGTCGCTGGGGACAAGATCTGGAGAATACGGTGAATGCGGAAGCAATTCGAAGACCAATTCATATAATTTTGCCATCGTTTTCATTGACTTGTGACACGGTGCATTGTCTTGATGAAGCAGCACTTTCTTCTTCAAATGGGGCCGTTTTTCTGCGATTTCGTAGTTCAAACGCTCCAATAACGTTATGTAATAGTCGCTGTTGATGGTTTTTCCCTTTTCAAGATAGCCAATGAATATTATACCATGAGCATCTCAAAATACTGACGCCATAACTTTGCCAGCTGACTGTTGCGCCTTTCCACGCTTTGGAGTTGGTTCGTCTCGTGCAGTTCACTCGACTGGCGGTTGGTTGGATTCCGGTGTGAAATTATGGAGTCATGTTTCACCCATTGTCCCATATTGACGCATAAATTCGGGTTTATTATGATTAAACAGCTTCAAACACAGCTCAGAATGATCAATTCGTTGTTGTTTTTGTCCAGTTGGGAGCTCGTGCGGCACCCACTTTGCCTAGAGCTTTCGCATACCCAAATATTCATTCAAGATATGTTCAACACGTTCCTTTGATATCTCTAGAGTCTCAGATATTTTGATCAAATTCACTTTACAGTAATCTAAAATTATTTTGTGGACTTTTTTGATGTTTTTGTTGGTAACAGCCTCTTTGGGGCGACTACTGTGTGCATCGTCGTTGGTGCTCATTTCGCCTCGTTTAAACTTAGCAAACCACTTCTCAATGGTTGATTTTGTTGGTATAGAGTCCGAATAATGTTTCCCAGGCCAAGCCTTGGCTTCAAGAGTATTTTTTTTCGCTAAAAAGCAATGCTTTAAAAACACACGAAATTCCTTTTTATCCATTGTTTCTAAACTAAGAAAAGTTGCTTCACTAAAAATACTATATCTCACAAACTAATAGTCCAACAGCTGTTAAATTTATACACGTGTCTTTCAAAGGTTAGAACTAACTAAAAATCATATGTATTTAATAATAGTAGCCCCATCTATGTGTCAGCCTATGAACTTTTCAGCCCAACTGTTACGTTGCTTGCACATGTCTTCGTTACAAAAAATAAATGTATAAATAAATAAAAAAAAATTGCAAAGTGTTTTTCTGTATTCTTTTAGCTCATGTTCATTAAAATTCTTTAATGAATTATGAGTCTTTCTTTTTTGAAATTCTGTGATGATGAAAATCAGAGTAGAGCATGCAAGCCGTTTTTAGGAATATGGTGAAGCATTTATGAATAGAATTAAACTGAAGCTTTAATGTTTACTTTGTAAATAAAAGGAAAGTACTTTCAGACTTTAGACTATATTTTCTGAAACCTGTACAATAAAAATTCTTTATTTTACTTTTTCATGCATTATTGCACATAGAAGTTAAAAATATAATTTTAATTCATCCTTTATTATTATTTTAACTACAGAAACTGTTTTATTTTTTCCATTTTTACCGTTCCGTAAAAAAAGGTTTTTAAAAAATAGATGAATAAATGAATTTTTTTCAATATTTTTACTTATCATTTGCTTATACACTCATCAATTTTTTTGTGATTTTGGGATAGCCTACCTTTTTATTCCCAAAAGATGCTTTTCTGTGTGATGAAAATTAGGGTTTAACTTGCAAACAGGTCCTCACATTCTTGGACAAAACTAGACTCTTAACTCTAGACTTTTGGGTGATAACAACTTGAAAAATAAATTAAAATAACTTTATTTACTGATGAAATATAAAACAGAAAACAATTATGGATATATATAATGGATATTTAACAAATAACGGATATATATGATGTTGCTTAATGGTGATTTTTATCTAAGCCTGTTTATGTTTTCTAATGCTGCACATTAAAGATGATAGTTTTTTTTAAAATTTTGCCTGTGAATTTGTAAAATGTTGCTATTCCCGATCAATATGATTCTTTGTTGATTTCTACATTCTGTGATACGGGCATTCTTACAATTTCTTAGTAAAAAATGTGAAACAATAGGCAGATCATGTTTTCCATGTAAATAGCTTAAAAATTAAACTCTAAGGCATAATGAACTGTTGATTATTATTGAGCAGATATTTGGCATTTAAATCGAATAAAAACAATTCGATCATGTAGGTCACATCTCTCATACAGTCGAACATATCATGTTTGCTTCATCTACTGATAATAATTCATTCTTGATTATGTGCTAATTTACTTATCAAACACATTACTCCGTATGAAATTTTTCATTGTTTTAAAAATTTTGTATTTTTATTTACATTTTAAGCATACAAACATTTATTTCACTTGTCGCTGTACTTTTACAGGTACCTTGCAATGATTGTCTTCCATATGTTCCTGGACAGTTATTACTTACTATGCCTAGCATAAACTCTATAACTCAACTTCAGCCATTTTTTAATACATTATCAAATATTAAAAATTTTGTTGCATCATCAGATGAAACTGTTAAACATGAAGTTAAGTTTCTTAAAGATGATTGTAAGAGTTATCCTATTTCCAAATCTCGATCAGCTCCTGATTTGAATACATTGATTTCAAGTCTCCCATTGCCGGATTCAGAATATCCTCAAACTACGGCAGAACAAATTGAACTTATATTAGAAGCTGATTTTCTGGAGCCTTGCACTCAATGATGTGGACCATTTACATTTTTTTTATCCTTTTAGAAGGAAGTTATTTTTATATTTTTCGGAAAACATTGGATTATTTTACTATAATATTGAATTGATTGTAAATTAGTCAATAATGTTATAAAGGAACTTCCAGTGCTTTATTTTTGTAAAACAGCTTCTACTGTATTACGAGTTTATTTTTTTTAAACTGTTCTTTTTATTTCTTAAGTTATTTTTGTTTTGATTATCATATATGCATACTCAACATTGAAACTATTTTGCATAAATGATATCCAGATTTAATAATTATATATTTGATCTTAAAAATTTCTCTAAAACATTCTATTTTTGGTCATTTGTTTTTTCTAATTCAGCTTAATTTAAGGATAGATTATTTATCCAATATAAGCTGTTAAATTTTTTTTATAGTGAAGACCCAATGGAAGTAAAGTCAAACCTCAATGTCATGAGCTTTAACAGAGAATATTTTGACATAAAGGCTGAAATCTAATTTCCCTATCTGTTTGCTAATAGGTAAAAACCTATTTTAACCAAATACATTTATTTCTTAGTGACCTGACCCTCTATTTTACAAAATAATTTTAATCGCTAAATTTTTTTCCTGGCTTCTTGCAAATTTAAATTGCTTTTTTTTATAAATTCGAATTTTTAAAAACTTTTCTTAATCAATTTTATGATTCATTTCTTAAAATTCTCATAAGAAAGAGATTATCATGTTGGAAAAGAAATTGTTTCATATATCCATTCTTAAAGAAGTAGACAGGGAAGCAATGCATATCTGCTTATAAAAATAAGACAGAACTTGCTAATTTAATGAATTCAAAAGAAATTGCTATTCATTAGTTAATAGTAACCTTTTTTATAAATGTTTCAGTATTTAGTAATTGGGGAGAATCAGAAATATTAAAAGACGTTAAGGTATCTGGAAATAAATTGGAAAAGGCAAAGCAAAAGAATTTCAGGAAAACAAAAAATAAAATGAAAAAGCAGAGACATTAATCTTGCTTTAAATAAATGTCTTTTTAAGTAAAAACATGTTATTCAACTTTTAAAATGTCAGTACAGTTGATATTTTCGACTGAGTTTGAAGGAAGTATTCTATTTTCAACATCAGGAATTTTTGTTAACACAAAATTTTTAGTTTCTCCCTTCAAATTCGTAATATTGAGATTTGAATGTATTTACATAAATTAAAGAAACTATAAATATCTAAATTAAAGATATTCAAACAACCATAAAGTATCGCACTTTTGATACACAATAAGTGATTTATTCAAGAAGTTAAGAAGATCTATTTTTCAAAGTATATTAATTGACATTAATAAACAGCTGAAATTACGCAAGATTTTATTCATTGTTTCTTTTATATATTACCAATGTTTCTTATAAAGAATTTACTTTTTAAAGATTTACAAGAAGTTTCTATTATTTAAACTATGTTCTATTATATTACTCTATATATTAAATTCTATTGTTTTAGGTCTTTATAATGGAATATTTTATTCTTAAAACGATTGTATTATTAATTAAGATGTTTGTGTTTTAACTAGTAAATAATTATACTATCTGCATTTTGACTTAGTTGCAAAACTACAATCTAAGCAAATAAGTTGCTAAATTTTTTAATACAACTCTTAACAAAATAATGGTATAAATTTTTTATTGCTTGAACCCATAAGGTTTGCTTAAATACATAGTAAGTTTTCAAAGACATGAAAGATTCTTCTATGACAATATTTATGTACCAGTTATTGATTTTATTTTTACTGAAATTTTAACTTCAATAGCAATTTTATTATTATTATTATTATTTTTTTTTACTATTTGTTGAGATGCTGGAACCTTTTTAAATGACTTATATTTACTTTCTGCTCTTCTGTATGTACATATTCTTAATTTTTTGTCTAATATCTCTTGTTTAAAGAGAAAATATTTTTCAGTATAGTTCAAATTCTTTTGAGTTTAAAGTTTTACACTCTAACTTTTAAAAATATTTTTAAATACTCAATGACTGTGATAAGATTGTATTTATAATGTTCCATTAGAGATGTAAAATTATATTAAAATATTTTGTATGTTTTTGTTTTTGAATTTATTGTTTACTTAGTTTTGTAATTTTTGTTATTTAATTTCTGCTGAAACTGTGAGAAAAATTTATTTCATGTGATTTATAGCATGAATCAAACTTTGTATTCCTGCTGTATTAATTCATTTTGGTATTGTTGTATATTTAACATTACATAAAGATATTTTAAATGTTGTTCCTTATTTTTACGTGCAATAGTTATTCATATTTATATGGACTAAAAAGAAACTATTCTTAAAATGTGAAAAATATTCTTAAAAAGCATTGAAAAAAGAAGAGATGGGATAAAAAATATTTTGATCCCTAAATGCAAGCATTTTTATTATTTTAAATTTTAAGGTTTAGTAACTTTAGGTTTAAGTAATTTTTACTGTAAGTGAACAAACGTGATTCTTCTAAAAGAAGAAAAATATTTTGAAATTATTATTTGAGCCAAGAAAAATAAAAATATCATTTGTGCTGAAATAAATTAACATGGAGAAGAACACAAAAAAACAAAAGTAAAATTGGATTCTCTATTTCCCTTCAGCCTTTATCTTGACAATCGTAATGATTCTTGTATTCAATAGCATTAAAAAAGCCTTCCAACATATCAACTTTTCCTAAAAAATTTTAAAAGAAAAAAAAAAAAAAACGAGAGAAAATCCTAATATTTTCAAGACCATGGCAAATTAACAGATTTATTGGTTGATTTATGAATTCCTTAAAAATTCAGTGGCATCTATATTTTTAATTCTATATTTACAAATTTAAAAAGTAATGATCTCAAAAGTATTTTTCTTTACTCCAGGAATAATATGATTTTTTCAGTGAATTGGTTTTTATTAGTTTCACAGTTAAGAACTCATAAATATGCAGTTAAGAACTAATACATATATAAATTTTTACAGTTTACAAAGTAAAATGCATATATACCTCACTGCAAAAACAAATATCATCATCAATATCTTGGTATAAGAGAGAGATAAAAAAAAACTTTCAAATATACTATTGTAGCATAATCTAGAGGCTCATCAGAAACCAGTGAAAGATTATCAAATTTTTAATGAGCAATAAATCATAATTTAAGTGTCAAGTTATACAAAATTCTCCCTGGATGGTTAAAATTGGCATAAAAGTTAGTAGTTTCATTCTAACACTTCTTATTGAAGCACAAATAGTATAGATGATGGTTTCACAGAGACATGATAGTTTTATATGCCAGCCAGGTGGCCGAGCCGTTAGCATGCCTGACTACGAAGCCAATGGCTGCGAGTTTGAATCCCACTCAGAGCATGGATATTTCTCTCTGTGTGTTGTCTTCTGTTGTGTGTGAATGTGGCCCACCCTATGAACTCTGTGGCAGTCGGTTGTGGGTACTGTTGCTCGCCTCCGTGACTTAGGTTCACAGGTGCCCACTGGGTAACGTTAAATGAGCAACACTTCCGGCATCCTTCAAGGGGAAGAGCAAAAGTTCAGTACCTGCTGTTAAAAAAAAAGTTTTGGTGCATACAAAGTATTATTGTCAGTGTCAAGACATGAAATAAATGTTGATAAACTGCAGGACCATACTGTAGCTTTTAAAATGGGAAAAAATTGAAAAAAGACGATAGCAAAATATACACTTTAGTTGAATGGGCAACTACTTTTTAGTGTTTAAAATTTTAACAATTATTGTTGCTACTAATGCCACCTGCCTTTACCAGAAAGCCTGCTTTGAGAAACCAGGCGATTTTATGGCAGAGGTGTGTTTCTTGTTTTTCATTGGCCCCATCTATGGACGAGAATATGACTTCAACCATATAGCCGTTTTACAGGGTGGACCCATTCATTCATTCACAGATCACAATTTTGACCTGAACCAGAGAACAATCAATCTCCAATTCAGTACCCCCAGAGGTAATGATTTGTTATGAAAAGTGGAGCACTTGGTGACCCCAACAGATTTTACACGCGCCAGTCACCATATAATACAATAGGATTCTTGGGTCAGCAGGATTTGAACTCAGAATCTCACGAACATGAGCGCAATGTGATATCAACCAGGCTATCCCTACCCATTTTAAGAGTAGTTTAATGTATTTAACACAATTGTTTTTATACTTACATTGGGAACTGCTCAATCAATAGATTAAAAATATGTGGTTATATTCTCAAATTTTTTAAAAATATTTTTTTAAATCAGTTTTTGGTAAAATCAGTTTTGGTCCCATTCTTTTACATTTTTCTTCTCTAATAAAATTTAAATTTATAATGTTTTTTTAATACATATGTATAGTAGCTTGAGACAAGTTATTTTAACTCTTTAAGCCTAATTTTTTTTTATGGTGAAAAAAAAGAAAAAAATTTAATTTTCTTCTTTTCTATTTTTGTATTTGTTAAAAGTAACAAAGAATTATTCAAATTTTCCCATCATCTCATTCCGCTTTTTTTGAAACAATTTTGTAATAAATAAACAAATTTTACTTTTAATTTAAATAATTATTCAATGTTTCTTCAAAAATACAAAGCTGCAAAATTTAAAGAAATAATAATAAAATAAATTATTCATTCCCAATTCATCTATTAAAATTATTATTAAAAAAGCAGTTGACAAAAAGGAGTGCCTTTATCTTCATTAAAAAAAAAAAAAAAAAAAAAAAAAAAATTTGCTGTCATTTATTGAGCATAAATGAGTANGAGGGGGGGGGGGAGACTATAAAGAGAATCCTCCAAAGTTGAGTGATTTTGTTTTGGAAGAGAGACTGAACTGAAAAGGTAACTAAATAAAATGTCACTTAAAAATTTTACTCTGTGTAAATTATCATATATATATATACAAGGGTTGAACTAAATAATGGAAACACTTCCATACTAATTACATTTTTTGATATTTATCAAAAAATACTTAGAAAAAATCATTTTATAATACTTTTTAGTATATGATAGTGTTTAGTATTTGGGACTTATAAAGGAGGTTTGAGGGACCGATAATAAATTACAAATCGAAAAGTGTGTTTTTAAACATCCTATGCCAAAAAATGTAGCAATAAATTTATAACTTGTAACAATTATTTTGGTTATTATATGTAATAAGCGCACAAAATTTCGTACGCTTAACTTAAATATTTCTGGAGATAAGGACATTTTTATATATAAAAAAAAAACTATTACATATTTGTCTTACATTTTTATGATATAGCTTTAAAAATATTCAGACAATGAAAAATACTGAGAAAAATTTATTTAACACTGTGCAAGATAGGATTAATTAACGTAGTTCTTTTATACTGCGCATGCGTGAGAAATATTTAAATTTGTTTTTTATTAGGTTTGCAGTGAATCGTATTTGGAAACTAATAAAAAAAACCGATTTGATTATCTTAAAAATGTAAAAAGTTTTAAGCTATTTTCTCTGTAGTCTTCGTACTTTTTAAAAGAAAGCTGAAATGATAAGGTGTTTTCCGCAAATTTTATTTTGTACTATTAAACAAGATTTATTAAAAATGACACCGGCACCCTCCATAAATGTATCTTCCTCTTTTTTTTTTTTTTTTTTTTTTTTTTTTTTTTGCACGCGTTTTCTTTCCGTATACAATCATTGTTTGATGTATGAACGTTTATTGTAAGGTAATTATCATTTGTTGTGTGTATATATATTTTAGTCTTATACAAAAGAATATTTGTAGAAAAACCCTTATCATTTTGAGTTTATTCTAAAATGTAGAGTTTCTTAAGTTGAGTTACTTACTATTAGCTTAAAATGACAGTTTTCTTAACTTCTAAACTAATCTGTCATTTTCCACGCATTCAAAATTTGGTGAATTCCTATTTTCTTTCTTTTTTTTTTTTTTTTTTNTTTTTTTTTTTTTTTTTTTTTTTTTTTTTTTTTTTTTGAGCGAATGTCAATAAACTACTGTCTGTAAGATATTAAAAATGTAACTAAATAAATATAAAAGAAAAAAAATTGATTATTTTGAAGACGAATTCTCCGAATTGTCATGTTTCCAAAGAATCACCCATATATATTCTAACTGCTTAAATTACGAATAATGAAAACATTTTTATATCTGCATCCTCCTTACCGTACAATATCTCATTAATCAAGTAATATATAATTTCGAATGGGTTTGTTTTATTCCCCAAAACTACAGCACTGCTAATACGGTATCACTAATACTTCAAGGTATTTAAAAGATAAGACTACCAGATAAACAAGGTTACAATAAGACGTTTAACACTAGTCATTTTCTACTTAACCTTCTGGTAGTGCCATCTTGTGATGAACGGCGGCAACTTATTTGTGCACCCAATATAATATTTTTAAAGTTATAGCAAAAATTAGTTTTTTGTAAAATTGTCCATGTCTCCATAAATATATTTAGCTAAGCTTACGAAATTTTGTGCAATTATTGCATATAATAATCAAAGTTATTCTTACAAGTTACAAATTTATTGCTACATTTTTTGGCATAGGATGTTCAAAAACATTATTTTCAATTTTTAATTTATTATCGGTTTCTCAAACCTTTAAAAAGCTTTAAACTTCATTAATTTGTGTGAAAAATCTCATGTTTTAAACACTTCTGAAGTTATAAAATGATTAAGAATTTCTTGAGAAATAGAAAAAATGTATTTGCATAGAAGTGTTTTCATTATTTTATCT